CCTCCCGACGTCTCCACTGGACACCACCCCATACTGGGCTCCCTTTCGCAGCAAAGCGCCTCAGAATAGTTGTGGACAATCTGTCTCCAGTCCCTTCCCTGCACTCTTCTGTCCAAGCCAGCCTACAGTGCTACAGCCACTAGACAAGTGGCCACCAGGGGTCCACGCCACAAGGCTCTACCCTCAGCATCCCTGAGCCCCCTCACTCCCTCCTCCATGAAGTGATCTCATGGTCAGGGGTGCCCGGAGGCCGGGCTTGGTTTCCTACCCTCTCTAGCTGCTCCCTCTTAGCTCCCCTCCCTGACTGTCCTCTTCTCCTGCTCCCCATGATGACACTGGAAGGCACAGGTCCAATCCCCAAAACTTCTCTTCTCTCACCAGGGATCTCATCTGGGCCATTATGCCAAATACCAACCACAGGCTGAGCCCCCATGGTTTCTCCAGCACAGACAGCCTCTTACACCATCAGCCTGGGGTAAAGCCTCCCACTGGGCCTCTCCACTGGGTGCCCTGTGAGTTTCTCACATTCCACATGCTCCACACCGAACTTGGAATCTCTTCTCTTAAGTGTACCTTCTCCGGCTGTGCCGTTGCCTCTCAGGCTCTGAAAACACACCTAGTTACTCAAACCAGAGCCCCACGTGGCATCCACACAGAGCATCCCCTCATGCTCACACTGAGCATCCACTAGGCCAGGATGTCTAAAGAACACGGCCATGGCCACCTCTCACCACTCCGCTGCCAGCCACAGAGCTGCTGCTCTCCCGTCTGGGTGATCATGGTGGGTTTCTCTGAGTGCCTCTGAGACGTCTCCTGGACTCCAGCCTGCCTTCTCCTCTCTATCCCATAATCTCAACGCAGAGGCCCGAGGGAGCCTATTCAAATGGAACACAGGTCCTGTCTCTCCTCTGCTTCAACCCCACACTGACTTCCCATCATGAACCCCAAATATCCCAACAGTCTGTGATACCAGCCTCAGCCAGGCCCTGTCACCTCCTCCAGTCCACCCCGGCTCACTGGCCGGGGCTTCTGCGCCCACTGTTCCTTCCTTTTCCACCAGTCTTGCCCAGATGCAAAACAGCTAGTTCCTGCAAGCAGCTCCTCCAAGTCCCCGTTCAAATGTCACCTTTCCAGTGAGATCCCCTGGACCTCTCCATCTGACACTGCAGCCCGCCCTCCCCACTAAACATGGTCTACTTTTTGTTTTCTCCACATCATTTGTATTTTGTCACGTAATACCTTCCTTCTTAGTACTGTCAACTGTATACTGTCCGTCTCTCCGTGCCCAGTGCCCATCCACACCCCACCCTGCACGCCTCCCACTGAAGGAGCACGTCCTGAGTGCAGCACTGCACTGCCGTGTTCTGTCCTGAGCTGGAGCAGAGCCAG